GGTCTTCTTTGAAGGTGTCAGTGCTGAAGACGGCATGGCCAAACAGAAGCAGGTGAGGCAGCCCGGGAGTCTGCCGACGATGTGGGGATGGGATGAATTCGTTTGATGAAGTCTTTGCCAAGCAGGTTGATCTGAGTAATCAGGGATATGGTTTACTCAGTTTGCTCGTAGATGAGAAACCTGAATAGGACAAGGCTTCCCAAACGGAACTCAATCGGCTTGAATTGGGGATTTGTCATGTGTGGCAACAAAAAGGTTATGAGATCTTATGAGACCCACATAACTTGGACATCAATTGGATGAAGATGTTGATCAATGGATTCAATTCGTGCTTTAATAACATGTTGTCATGTGATTATGAGATGAGACGGTTATCCATGTCGACGTCACCTATAGGCGGGTTGACGATGACGGAGGTTGACTTCGACGACATAGGCGGCAAGTGGTTTGGACAGTCCATAGGCCGGAGGTTCTTGAGTTTGGTTTGGACTGGGAATGATATGGAATGATGGAGAACGCCCCAAAAACTTGTGGCACCACTTCCAGGATAGGGGTAACCACGGCGAAAAAACACCGTGGTCAGGTGATTTTAGAACGACCCGGTCAGGAGAAGGAACATGGGGGAAAATTCCTCACTTTGGGGCGAAGCTCCGGTCTTTGAAGCTTTGGGGAACGTGTCTTTGCCTTCGAAGTCGGAACGAAGTCTGGAGGCCTTGTTTGAAGCTCTGGGAGCCGACCCTACTGTGCTGGAGGTGCAACTGGGAGCGCGAAGAAATGGGGCGAACCGGGTGAAGGCCAAGTGGCTGTGGGTCGGAGGATGGTTTTTGGTTGGCGAAGCAGCGGGCACCTGAAGCATGGACTTGGGGGCTGAAACATCAACTGCCATACAAAAACAACCTCTTCTCGTCTCAAGATTCTAGTCTACGTACTCACGAGAGGCCTCCAGAGGGCCGACGTAGGTTTCTGGTGACAGAGCTCAAACAGTTATAATCTTGATGTTTGCAATTTGGTTTTGCGTTCATCAGAATTAGTGGATGGTAATGAGATGTAATTAGTTTCCAGGCTTCAGGCCATGGCATGCCGTGTTTTCCCGGTGTAGGAACACCGAAAAATCACACCAACATGTGCGACATACGAATTTCATAACGGCCAGTGACGGCCAGATCCTTTTCCAAACCTCCCTGGCTGCATGGTTTCACCCGCCACGTCACCTCACCGGTCAAAACTAAAACACGAACATGTCATTCGGTCAAGACTGGGAACAGAATTTGCCACGTTCTGTTGACAGCTCCCCATGATCACTAATTATATAAGTGATCAAATGAGCGACCGTGTCGTTCCCCTTGCTGATGTAAATGAGCTAGGCAAACTAGGCTAGGCAAAGCTGTTCAGCAAAGCTCGCTTGTTTGATCTTGGATTTCCTTTCGCCAGTCGTGAATCCCATCTCCGCCACATCCACGTCGCGGCAACCTCCACCTCATCCGTAGACTCTCTCGCTTTCAGACACGCAGGGCTTCTGGCACGAGCTGCGGCCCGTTGGAAGCCAATGCCGCTCCATGGCACCCAAACTGCGTTTGGCCAACCTGCGCCCCGAGGACCGTATGTTTTTTTTCGGAGAACGTGGGCGGGCTTCGCAGGAACGTGGACCGTGCGAAGTGGGGAGGGCCGGGAGGGTTGGAGAGATCTCGTTCTAAAGGTGTGCAGGCTAGTAACAAGTGCATCGCTACTAGTAGCAAGAAGTTACTAGTAACAAGGGTGAGTGGGGGAGTTCTGTGAGTCTTTGAGTCTTTGTTCCGAAAGACCCAATTGAACAGTTGGGAACGCCACAGGCCATGACACGCTGAATCAGCCTTCACTTGGAATTGCCTCTTTGGTTTCGTTTTGGATGGCGTTTCGCAGTTTCCAGGTATTCAAGGGCAAGTTGCTGTTGGATTGAAGGCACCTCCCTGAAGCCTTCGTTCTTTTGTTGTCATCCACAAAGGGCGGGTCCAGACCATGTAATGTGGTTATGGCCCTACTGCCTTGGCCAAGCATGACCTTTATGAAAGAATGAGAACGCCAGGTCTTTATTCCCACTCCAGTTCCCACTCCATGTTCCGGGCGCTTATCACCTGATTTGATTTGCTGGAGACCAATCCTGTTGCCTGGACGGTGGCTTCGGTGCTTGGAGGGCCGGATCCACCGGCAGCTTTGGCAGGACGGACCCCTCGCGGAGGCCTTGAAGTCCTGGCGCGCGGAGCCGCGCGCGACCTACGAGGCGTTGCAGAAGCCCATCAGCGCAGAGAACGAAGACAGGGTGAAGAATCAGGTGCGACCGTGACCACCTGACTAGAGTGGTTGCGTGTTTCTTGCGCCTTTTCGGTGCGTTTTGCGTGTTTGGGTGGTCCTTGCTTTTTTTGCCTGGAAGCACTGGAAGTGCACGTCCTTAGTGAGTCTTATGTTTCTTTTTGGCAGGGCGCAGTTTGATGGAATAGTGAGGTTGGAGATGTCCTAGCCTAGCTGCGCGAATCAACTAGAGAATGGTTAGTGAGGGCACTAGCTGCTATAGGACCATAGGATTAGCTTAATACTGAATACGCAAAAGCACCTAATTTAATATATCCTGGATGTAAGCACACCTACATTCACAAAACATATCCGTTGTTAAAAATTGTGTGTTTCTTGCAGTTGAGTCCTCATATCAACGAACGTTGTGATATGTTGTCATTGTTTTTTCGGCAATTTGCTCTATACAAGTTGCAAGTGGCTTTGATTGTTCAGGGGAGGTACCATGCCAGAGCCAGAAATCCTCTATGTAAGTATATGAAATATTATTATGTAACCATGGATACATATATACAGCACACCATTTTGCGCGATTTTGAGGGTCTCTGAGCTTCGCAAGTCCCAAAAGTAAACTCGCAGACCAAGAAGAATCATTGGAAAGACGTACCCTAGAAGCCCCATGATTATGCTTTGTCCTAGTGCAGCGAAAGGCAAAAGGACTATGCCTGACTATGCTTTTCATCTAACCTTTGCCCAGTACAAATACACTACGGGCAACCTACGGGAACTAGTAGTGGTTTATTACATGTCTCATAATTGGATGTCATTCTTTGTGGTGTTCCCCTTTTTGCTCCTTTTTGCCAAAAACATGTTTTCTATCCAATCTCCGCGCAGATTGTGGGCGCAGTGAAGGAGGCTTTGGCGGAGCTACCCGCTGAGAAAGAGCTGCAAGACAAGGCGCAAAGAGCCGCGGAGGCCAGGCACGGACAGTGTGAGAAAACTCCCCCGTGACAGCGCGGTCAGTGCGGTCTCCCGATGGTGGCCGTTGGCCGTTCTTCTTTATTGGTTGGAACGCAAGCTGCGGGTACACGTTCCTCATATAGTCATATATAGCTTTCTGGGTTCTTATTGGCACATCCGTTGTTTTTCATCCCATCATCCTCTGCCCCCCAGGGGCCCCAGCGCGATGTGCAGATCTTGCAGCAAAAGTTGCGTTGACAGAAAATCTACAGGAATGCCATGGAAGCTCCAGTGAAGCAATAGAGGGAAAAACAGGGGAAAACCAATTGACATCAGTTGACCAACTATTGATACAGTAACTGTATGTAACTTGTGACTGGAATCTCTCATAGGTTGGACGGGTTGGTCATGAAACGCCACTGATCCAGCGACCGATGACCGCGACCGCCTGCGTCGCAGGGTCCGCAGCAGATCCGCGAGACGCTGGCGGTGCCGTGGATCTGGGCGGGGGGGCAGCTGGGGCTGGGCGGAAGTCTCCTTCCCTGGCCAGCTAATCTCGACAGGTGAAAACGGCGTGTAGGATCAGGGGGAGAAGCTAAGCAAACGTCAGAAAAAAGAGAGATGGCTCTCCTTTCGAGACGTACCCCCACTTGCTGGAGGTCTTTTGGGGACTTGAAGGATCTTGAAGGGATCCCACACTGAAACTACCCTCCCCTGGGTCCTGGGTGGCTTTGGCAGGCCATAAAGATGGCTTTTGTTCTAGATTCTATAGGTTCTGCGTGGCTTGAAGCAGGGTTGCACCTTGCCTGTATGGCCGCGATTCTGGATTGGGGCCATTCTGAATCATTCGGAAGGCAGCTTATGAACTGACCAGCCCGCCATTTGGCAAAGATTGTATTTATGTTACATGCTGGATGTAATTGTTGTTTGGTTTGAGCTTCCGCTATTGGTCGGGGCGCTCCGATCAATGGAGACTGTTTGCATCGTTCGCCCATGCAATTTCGTGCCCCCCCATGGGTTGTTTGGAGAGGTATTGGGTTGGACGAATGAGGACTTCGCAAAATCCTGTTCATGGACGACCTCTTGCTCCACATCAGGCCAAAGTGCTGCTGGGCGAACGTTTGGCACTGGAGACCTGCTTGGAGCAGTGGAACGCAGCCTAGCACCGCCCGTGAGCCAAAAAGCATGCCTGCGATTTGCCTGGGTCATTTCATGTGGTCAACAAGACCCAAGCAAAACGGTCCACCCCAATGCCCCAAAAAGTGACCCCAAGAAAAGGTTTGTTTGGTAGACCCGTCTTCCCATGAAAGTTGTTCAAGTTTGAGATCATAAATATCGTTTGACATATCGTCTAAAACTGGGAACGCGTGTTGGTTTCTTTGGTGACCCATTCTGGCCAACAAACCTTCACCATTCCTCAAGTCCCTACGCAGAGTGGAAGTCGCTGCTTTCCGTGCTGGAAGCCTTTTGGTCTTTGAGATCTCAGAGATCTCTGTATTCTGGTGGTGAGCAAATGGGTATAATATCATCACAAAGGATATTACTCTCCTGCTTTGGATGGCTTTGGCCTTTACCCCTGTTTTCATTGTTTGGCACGGCAGCCTCTTTTGTTTTCGCTCTCAGACACACTGGATCACCATGGACCCTCTTTGTTTGCATCCCCAAGTGCCCCTATCCAAAAAAGAACCAAATTGAGGAGACAGCCTCCCCATCTCCCAAGGTACAAGTGAACATCTGCCACCCCATTGGGTTGTCAAGTTCTTGGCTAGCCTGAGGTGTGGTCGGGCGTGCAGAACGAACTGGATGTGGCAAGTATCCTCAAAGCCGTGGAAGCAGCGGTGGTCCTGCTGGCACAATTGGCGTCGGTTGATTGCTTGGTTTGTTTTACCACCGCGCCTACCTGCCGTTACATGGCTACTTCGCGTTTTCTGGCGTTGAACGACAAGAAACATCTTGCAAAGTGTTTTTTTGGATCTGTTTTTTGGGGGGGCATTAGCATGGATGTGGTGACTGGTTCTTTCGAGTGCATAAAGCCTCACGAGGCGACATCCAACTGACTCCATGGGCTAACGACAGACTCAAGAAGCCGGAGGGTGGTTCTACCAGCCCCCAGGGTGGTTCTCCCAGCCCCCAGTTCCCAGCTCGTGATTCTATCCTTTTCTCCCATGGAACCCGCGAGGTGCTCCAGGCCGACGGCACTGCGCTGCAGTCGGCGGTGCGGCAGCTGCTGTTGCTGCGGCCGAAGGACTTGGACGCGCCCGGAGCCCCCAGTGGTGTGGTGGCCAGTGGCTGCAGGGCGACGGGCAATGGCTCTGAAGGCGGAGGGAGTAGTCTCAGCGCGACAGGACCTGATGTCTCTCAGCGGACATCAGGGGAGAATAGTAAAAAGTGTCCCTAAAATGATTCCCAACTGTGAATATGTGGGGGGTGGAAAAATAAGAGAGAGCTGTTTCGCCCAGGGTTGGGGTTGTTGTTGTTGCTGCTGTTGGTGTTGTTGTTGTTGTTGTTGCTGTTGTTGTTGTCTTTCTTTTTTTCGCTCACTGTTTGTGCTTTCTCTTGCTTGGCTATTGGTTGCCTTTGGAGACCCGTGCTTGACCTCTTCTGAGGCTTTGCTTGATTCCTGGACCTCTGACCTGAACACCTTTTTCAAAAACCTTATTAAAGCTCAGCAAGATCATTGCTCCAACAGATGTTTCAGGGAAGTGAATTATATGAGTTGTTTAGGGAGTAGGAATAATGCACAAACAAACTTGGAGTGGGAAACAAAATGAGTTGTGTGTTCCTATTGTTCAGCTATTGCTTCCCTTCAAGATCCTCGCAACCTGTTCAAAAGCTGCACATACCTGTTTGTCTTACTGCTGCTGCTACTGCTACTACTGTTACTGCCACTACTACTGCTGCTGCTACTACTGCTACTACTCCTACTCCTACTCCTACTGCTACTCCTACTACTCCTACTCCTACTCCTACTCCTACTACTACTACTACTACTACTACTACTACTACTACTACTACTACTACTACTACTACTACTACTACAGTACTACCACTACCATCACTGCTTACTACTTATATAACGTATATACTACTATATACCTACTACTACTTACTACTAGGCTCAACTGTTTGCTGGAGGGAGACAGTTTACTATTGTTTACTATTTGAGATCCATCTTTACACACACAGATAAAGCAAAATCTTCGGATGTTCTGTGGATCTCAAATGGCAGAAGTAGCTGGCTGTGCCTTGTACTCATCTCATCTTGTAGAAGCACAGCAACTATCAGCGGGGTGGCACAGGTTTGAGCTTGAACATCCAGGGTACCTGCGTCCACCCCCCTTTGTTGCAACCAGAGATCTTTGCATATCTTTGCATAATGTTGTTGTTTAAAATATGTTTCCCATTTGTGTTATTTACAGTACTCTTTGATCATGTGATAGTGGTTTCACTCAGCACTCATAAATCTTGCTGTAAGATCCTTGCATTTGTAGAGGATTCTCAGGCCTTCTACATTCACCCAGACGAACAGTCGTCGAGAGTATTTTCTCGTGGAACATCCTCAAGGTTGACAACTTGACTAGACTGAACATGTCGTCCTGGAAGGGAAGGAAAAGCAGCTGTCGAGAGGACCTCGGATCTGTGAGCCAACCCACAGTTGTGTTCCAATGTCTTTCAGGTATGCTTTTGCAAGACGAAAAGAGCCTGTGGCTGTCAGCTGTCTAGGTCAGTCCGGCTTTGTTTTCACGTCTGGTTGAGTCCCCAATCCGACATGAAAGCCCGTCCGCCCCCCCGACGTCAAAAACGGACGGGGCCCAGAGACCGAAGCAGCGGTTTTGGTCGGAACTCATAGCTTCTTGCTCCTAGTAGCGTGGCACTTGTTCCTAGTAGCGAACATTGTTACTACTAGTAAGGCACTTGTTACTAGTAGCGTGGCACTTGTTCCTAGTAGCGAACATTGTTACTACTAGTAAGGC